GATCACTCGGTTACCTACATATACGCAAGCGGCAATCATTGCTACAAATATGCCAATCATCGAGAAGCTGAAAATCGCCGATGCCATTACGGAGTCCATTAAATTGCGCCAAGGAGACTGCAGCGAATTGTGCACCGTACAGCAATCTAACGATCAAGATCTGAGAGCCGAAATAGCAGTACTCAAACAACGACTCGACCAAGTGCGATTTCAGAATAGATCTAGCCCTAGGACCCCGGCAGGTACCCGCAGCTCATACAACCGCTCCAACGAAATGTGCTTGTATCACGAGAAATTTGGTCGTAACGCCCGTAAATACAGACAGCCGTGCGAAATGACTCATCCGCAGCCACCAACCGACTCAAATTAGGACTGCTCAGCCAACAGTTTTTCAGAATGAGGCAAACATTCTGAAAAACTTACAAACAAACGCCTTCACATATTTGACACTAGTGCAAAAATGAGTTCCCTTATCGACTCCGGCGCAGAGGTGTCGACTATATCGAAGAGTTCAAGTTGGGCTGAAGCATTTAAATCGGATAGCAAATTGTTTGCTGCTAACGGTTGACCAATTCAAGTGTTTGGTGAAGTCCTACTTAAATTGAATCTCAACTTACGTAAAGAGTTCGTGTGGAAGTTCGTAATTTCCGACGTTTCTCAGGCGATTATAGGCGCAGACTTATCATTATTCGATCTACTACCAGATCTCAATCGACATCGACTACTTGACCGCGGCACCGCGCTAAAAACAATGTGCTCGATAAAGTCAATTAATACACCGAATATTTCAACTATCAACGTAAATATGCCATTTTCGGATATTTTGTTAAAATTCCGAAAATAACTCATCAACCCACTCTAGACGTTTCAACAAAATCTACAGTTGTCCACCGGATCATTACGTCCGGACAACCGGTATTTAGCAGGCCAAGGCGCTTATCACCTGCAGCACGTGCTGAATTCGAGCTCTTAATGAAACTTGGCATATGTCGGCCGTCTAGTAGCGACTGGGCGAGCCCGCTGCATATGGTAAGCAAAGCAGATGGTTCTTGGAGACCGTGTGGTGATTCCCGTGAAGAGAATGTTGTAACTGTGCCGGACAGGTACACAGTTCCGTTTCTCCACGACTTCAAATATTATCAGGCAAAACTATTTTCTCAAAAACCGAACTACAGAAAGCTTTTCACCAAATCCGTATACATGAAGAAGATGTATGCAAAACGGCCAATACAACCCCTTTCGGACTGTACGAGTTCATTCACATGACCTTTGGATTACGCAACGCCGCAAAGATATTTCAAAGGGTGATCAATGAAGTAATTTGCGGAGTAATAATACTTTCGTTTACGTAGATGACATCTGCATAGCTTCTAACCCGACGGAGGAGCACCGTAAAGACCTTGAAAACGTATTTCAACGATTCGAGACCCAAATTTGACAATAAACATCGCATAGTCGATACTCGGAGTACCGGAATTCGAATTTCTTGGCGATCTTATCACCCAAGATGGCATACAACCATTACCAAATCGTGTCGAGACTATCAAGATCTTAAACTTCCAAGTACTGCGAAAGATCTAAAACGTTTCCTCGCCATGGTAAATTTTTATAGACCTTTTTTGAAAAATACTCTTCAACATCAAGCACCATTATTCAACATGACTCCGGGTAACAAGCGCAATAATCATTCACCCCTCGTATGGACCAAAGAGAATATAAAACATTACGAAGCCTGTAAGGAGGGCCTAGCTAAATGTACTCTGCTAGCACATCCCACTTCTAACGCGCAGCTTTCATTGTGGATTGACGCATCCGACTATGCAGCCGGTGCAGCGGTACAAAAAGTAGTTAACAACGCGCTCCAACCCCTGGGTTTCTTCTGGCGAAAATCTGCAAAACAAGCACTGCGACACAGTACTTACGACAGGGAGCTCACAGCTATGTATCTCGCTATCCGACATTTTCGTTTTATGCTTGAAGGACGAGATTTCCATGTCTACACAGACCACAAACCTCTCACATTCGCATTAGAAAAAGCTTCGGACCGTCAAGCGCGACAAYTAGACTTTATCGCTCAAATCACCACAGACATCCGTCACTTGTTTGGTYAACAAAATGTTGTCGCCGATATGATGCCTCGCATCGAAGCAGTAACCTCGGAAACAACTCCTCAATCAACTATGACAACTTAGCCACCGATCAAGCGACAGACGAAGAACTCCAATCACATTGGACAAATTTGCTACCGACAATTCTTTTGGGACTTCGCTGCTCGTTCAAACCAGATATTGGAGCATCACCGGACGAGTTAGTTTTTGGGACTACGCTACGCTTGCCATCCGAATTCTTYATSGACTCTCCTGTACCAGATAATGAGACTGAAGTTGTTGCTCAGTTGCGACAAATAATGCATGACCTACGTCCGGTCAACACGTCTTGGCATACTCCTCAGAARTCTTTTATGCATAMAGATTTAAAWACGTGCGACCAAATTTTCATYCGTGATTTGTCGGTACGACCATCATTGTCAGCTCCTTACAAGGTTATTCATCGCTATCAAAAATACCTCACCGTCAACATTAACGATAAAGCAGTAAACATTTCTATCGACCGTTTGAAACCTGTTTACACCGCCGCAGATCGCAACTAGGAGGGGAGTACTTTGACAGCCCCGCCAGTCATTATAATTGTATGAAGCATGGTAACTCTACCTGCTTCTTTGACATTTCGCTACGTATGATTTTCTTTTCCTTTTATGTTAAATAAAATTCGAAGATCGTTCTCTTTCTTCTCGTGCCCACACAAACGCTCTGCGTACTTAATATGTCACCGCACCTTTTATTCTATTATATTTGTTGTATATTTGTATATGCCACTTTATGATTATTTTGCCGCTTGAATCGTGTTTTTATCCCATTTAGGTGTAATGTTTTCTTCACAATGAAACAAACTTGCAGATTGGCATACAGCCTCATTAACACTTGAACGTCATCGTTATTTTTTGTACACTAAGGACATCGGCACCATTCCGATTACTTTGGCGGAGGGGTAAAAAAAACCGAATTTCCGTATAAATGGGATATGATCGGATAGGGGAGCTTCTCCAGAGGAGCAATATCCAAAAATAATATAAGAATTACTTATATGTTTTAAAATTTTCACGACTAAAAGTTCAAAAATATGCACGAATAACACAAAGTATTTCTCTATCTTCCATTAAATTTATTCACGTTTTYCACTCTGTATATTTAAATATACACTCTAAACATTGAAATAAGTTCACATTTCAATTTTATTTTGGAAAACGAGCGTTGCCACATCTTAAACACCAAATATGTAGGATTCTTAACGATTTTTCTTTGTTTGTTTTTTTGCGTGATTCTTTTTTCTACATTAATTATAATAAAAAATACCTTCTAACATTTCTTAAGTTATAATTGAGTTGTGAAAACTTTTTCCAGATATTATACATTTTACATATAGTATGTATATGTATAATATGTGACTTATATTTAATAAACACATATAATTAAAACTCTATGTTAATATAGTATTATAAAATTTATATAATATCACGTCGAGATGACTGAAGTACCCGAATACCCGGATGGACTGAAGCACTTTCGCCGAGTACTTCCTTCGGTCGCGCTTTAAAAAAATAACCCTGGCCGAGCGAATACTCGGGGGGACTGAAGTACTTTCGCGTAGTACTCCCTTCTGCGTTAAAAATAAAAAAATATATTGACTTTTTGTTATAAAGTGGTTAAAGTGGTTATATTTGTTGGTTACCATACACTCATATTGAAATAAAATTTGAATTTTCGTTATAAAATGGATAAATTTAGTTATTATATCTGTCAGCGATTTCCATTTATTTTTGATTACACATTGTTTTGTATTTTAGGTGACGATACATCAGTTTTTATATTTAAAATATGAGTTTTGGATATGGAGTGGTTATATTTGTTGGTTACCATGCACTCATATTGTACGAAATTTGAATTTTCCTACTTTACTAATATACCTTACACTTTATTACGTAATATTATTATATAATATTACAAATACATGTATATAATATTACTTATTTGCTTAATAAATTTAAAAAAGAAAATATCAATATGCATGAATAGAGGAATTTTTGCGAAAAAGAGGAATTTCCGCGAATTGCCTTATCATCACATGGCAGCGCTCCACTTCGTTGTTGTTGTTGTTGTTGTAACGGCAGAATTCTGCCGAGTTGACAGTCCTTGGTCGGATAAAAATCCGGGCCCGTTCCGGTTTTCATAGACCCAACTATCGTGGGAACGGCGCTCCATTTCGTCGTAAGTTTTGGTAACAAATGGGGTTAAAACGAGTGTAAAATGTATATWTTAAAATGCAGATTTTTTAGGTAAAAAATATGCTAAAAGTGTAAGAYATGGAGTTATTTATAAGCTTATAGTGTAATTTAATTAATTTGAAGTGAATAAAGTGTGCTCAATGTGGTGAAATAGCGTACTGAAATGTACGAATTTTGCGAATTTTTGAACTTTAAGGTCGAATATCTCCTAAACTAAGCGTTTGTGGTTTGTGTTGGTATAACCCAATATATTTTTTAATCAGGAGCACTTCCTCTTTCCAACGGTACCTTCAGATCGCGCTGTCCTTCGTTATTTGAATACAACTTATTTAATAACTAAAAAATGAGGAGGAAAAAACAAAACCAAAATGGATGCATTTATTTTTATTTCGAAAAATTGGAACAAAACAAATAAGAAATGCCTTTTTTCAAAAGAATTTAAAATCGCGCATCATCGTTTTGACGGAGGATGACGTAGCAGAGTTAATTACTAAAATAAATCCTATTAACTTAAAACATTGCAYTTCACCATCTTATACGTAATATACGAATTTGTGAGGTGAGGTAATAAAATACACATAATAAATATGGGAAAAATTTTCGACACTTATTGCCCTTTAGTAGCATAAATCGAAAAAATAAAAACATTAAGAAGTTATTCATGATTTTGCCTTTATTGGAACACCTTATACTTTTTTTCTATTAGTCAATATATTTCCTTATCCTATCCGTTTTAAGCTTCAGAATAATAGTAAAAACAATTTCTTTGAAAACAATTGCCAGTATTTTATTAATTT